CTGGAACTTACTTGTAGACCAGGCTGGCCCTTGAACTCACAGAGATCTGCCTCCTCTGTCTCCCAAGTGCTGGAATTAAAGGTGTGTGCCACCAAGCCTGGCTATCAGGAAACACTCTTAACTGCAGAACTGTCTTATGAAAAAATATTTTACTTGGCGTGTGAATGCAGATGGAAATGTACAGTTACTGCAGACATGTGTGGAAATCAGAGGACAAGTTTGGGACACTGCCCCCCCCACAGCTGCTCAGGGTTGGGGTGGGTGCTGAGAACATGGCTGCCTTCTGTTGTCTGCCCAGACCCCCACCCTTTCTGGGCTTGTCTGTTCTGCCCCTCTCCAGGTTTGTCCCTCACGCTGTGGCCCCTCTGTTCCTACTCCTATTGCTCTCCTTTCTGTGGGCTAATTCTCTAAAAGTTTCTTGTATCATTTAAGACTTTTAAAGTTAGGTTTATTTCAGTGAAATGTGAAGGTAAGAGGATAACTTGTGTTCTCCGTCCACCATGGGGGTCCTGGGGTGGGGTGGGGGGGTCAAACCTAGGTCACCAGGTTTGGTAACAAGTGCCTTTACCTGTGGAGCTCATCCCCCTCACTTTATTTGTTGTGTCCCTGCACCATTCTCTTTATGAAACAAATATGAATGAAGTCTCATCCACAATGGTGTCCTGTTTTAATGTGCTCTTCTTGGGTCCACCTCTGGTAGAGAAGCAGGATGGAGAGGGGTTGGCTGATGGGAGAGGCATGCAGCCGACCAAATGAAGAGGCGTCACAGGGCCCTTCCTAGAGGAGAGGCTCTCCGGCCAGGAGGTGACCTTCCCTTCTCTTGGTGTCTCTGGGACTCCCTACCCGTGTTGCCAGCAGTCAGTGGGTTCAGGGGGCAATGGCTTGGGAGACTGTTGGGCTGCATGATGGAGTGGAGCGTGTAGTTGCAGCGACCACGGCAGGACTCAAATCTAGGGAGGGCTAGGAGGGCGCAGGGCCTGGTGTGAGAGAAAGACAGAATCTGAGACTCCTGAGAGAACAGGGTCTTCTGGTGAGGGAGCAGGGACAAGGAGGAAGGAGGCATGGTGCTGGGGACTGGAGCCAGAGAGGTGCTCAGAGACCCCTGGAGGGGCTTAGCAACCAGAAGCAGCCAGGAGTCCCCAGGCAACATGGCCTGAGATGGCAGGATTCAGCTGGGAAGGGGGAGGGGAGAGTGGGTGGGAGGAGCTCCCAGTGGACTCTTCTCTCCAGATGTGTCTTAAAAGTTGGGAATGAGGAGGCTGTTTGCCATGGGGAGATGAAGCAAATGCTTCTGTGGGTGCAGGGCATCAGCATGTTCCCTGAGCGGGGGAGAAGAGGCCACCCGCACCCTCCTGAGTGCCGGACAGCTGATTGCCTTGCCGTTCTGAGCAGATGGGTGTCTGAGAATGAATGTGCCCCTCTTAAACCTGCACTGGTTGGGAGCAGGCTCTCAGCACTGACTTCCTACCCTATGTTGGAGCAAACCAGGCGGTGTAGTCCCCGAAGGAAAGGCCCTGACTTGTGTCTGGAAGGAGCTCACCTAGGTGTCAGAGACTAGACACGACAAGCTTTCTCAGGGAAGGAGAAGCTGTGGTGTGGGCGGTGGCTGGAAGCGTCTCTTAGCGCCTTCACACACCTAGAGCTGACTCCACCAAGGGAGCCATTCTGTTCTGCTTCCTACAGCAGCTAGAGCAGGGTTAACAAAAGTCTGGAAAAATCTACCAGAATAGCTCAAGTGACCAGTTCTTCTTTTTGGTTCGGCGTTCTCAGCCAGGGCACCAGGCCTTCCCGTGACTGGCCTGTGGTCAGCAGTCTCAGGGTTTCCCTTTTCGATCACACTTCCTATCCTAGTCCAGATAAACTCTGCCTCTCACTCATTCCTCTGCGCTCACTGGGTCAGCGCCGCAACAGATATCATCCTGTTCTCAGAGGCTGGCGAGGGTCAGCTGCTTCAGACGGTTGGCTGAGAGCCAGGTTTGGACACCTGCAGCCCTGGCACCTGCTTCCGTTACCCCGGGCCACCTGCCCCCATATTGGAGTCTCAAGCTGCTTGCACGCCTCATTTTCAGAACCACCCGGGAGATCCTGAATTCATGTGGGCCATGTGTGTTGCACGCATGCATGGCAGAGCATTCGTGTGCCGAGTGCGGATGTCTTGGGGAGGGGAGGCCTGCAGACTTTTGCATGCAGTCTGCTCATCTGGCCAACTGAAGTTCTACTTTCATGAAGTTACTTTAAAACAGGAAGTGGGTTTCCAAAAATGTTCCCTTCTGACAGAATGGGGTTGGTGGGAGAGGCTCGTGGCTCCGTGGACCCAGTGGGTCTTTGAGAGACATGAATTTCCAAACTGCTGCTCTGGGCCCCATGACGGTCCCCAGACCTAAGCTAGGAATAGTCATATTTATCTTAAGAGGCTCCCATGTCTTTGAGTTTGACATTAATTAATTGCCCCTGTAGTCAGAAAGAAAAGACACAGGACTTTGAGGGCTGACTCCCCACTGGGCACTGTTCCTGTTTCAGCAGAGAGATAGTCAGGCCTCCGCCTCATGGGGTCTTTTGCTTTCTAGTCTCTGGCATGAAACAAGCTCATTTTCTTCTATTTTGAAGCCCCGATAATTGAAAACTTCCAGGGATTTTTTATAAGACCAGAAGTTTTCAGAGGCGGGTGTTCGCTCAGTCAAGCTTTGCAGGCACCGTCAGAGGTTGACAGCCTCTCTGGGAGGAAGGTGTTTTCTTAGGGACTCCTGACCTCCCCATCTCCTCCACAAAACCACAGCTGTGTGCTGCATGCCAAAGGTGTCTCTCCGTTGCCTTGCACTGTGGGGTCAGACCAGGCCTGGGACCTAGGTTCACACAGGAGCTATCTCTACTGCAGGGGGGTGGGCGTGCGGACATGTCTCCATCCTCTTCAGGAAAAGGGAGGCTCAAGGGAAGTTCTCGTGGAGAGTGCCGAATCAGCAGCTCTGCCCACGGCAACTTTGAAGACAGTTGGCTCCTGCCTGTCGGGGAAGGTCACAGACCTGTCACGGTTCTCAGTGGCTCCTGGCATCCGGGCATGCCACAGTTCTGCCACAGTTCTCTGTGCAATGACAGTAGAGCTGAGTGAGCCTCTTGCCAGCCCTGTCTCCAGGATACCTCCATGCCTTCCAGTGGGCCTGCGCTGGGGACTTCTGGGCATACGGTGATTGGTCTTTGCATTACTTACGCTTAAGGTGTGGTCACTTGGAGAACTTCCTCATCTGGAAGGCTGATAAGCCGTCTCTCCTGGAGAGCTCAGTGTTGCCTCCTGGGACCCGAGTGGGATTGAAGTTTGGAGTCAGACAGTCTTGGTGTCGACTGCTTTGGCCCTGGTTCTCATCCGGAAGCCAGCATTAACCCGGAGAAAAGGCCAAGAGGTTAAGGGAAGGGAAACAGGCCTAGTGTGTCCACAGCACAGCAGGCGCTGCTGGTGGTACGCGCATGTGTGTGTGTTTTGCCGGACTTCATGTCCTGGCAAAACACACACAATAAAAAACTTTGTTTATTTGGTGTATTCCCAGTGCCATGCAGACACTGCCACTGGACCCCAAATCCTTTCAACACTCCCAGGAAAATCCCCATACCCATCATGCCTGTTACGAGCGGTTGGACTCTGGTTCACATTTTTCTAGGTTCTTAGTCAAGGAATTGAAATGAAGGTGCACAGAGACTGCAAAGTAGCGAGGGGACTATTGAACAGCAGAGCCCTAGGACGACTCAAAAGAAATGTGCTATCAAGAGTGACAACAGAGGCTGGGCTTGGTGGCACACGCCTGTAATCCCAGCACTCGGGGAGGCCGAGGCAGGCAGATCGCTGTGAGTTTGAGGCCACCCTGGTCTACAAAGCAAGTCCAGGACAGCCACGACAGAGAAACTCTGTCTCGAAACAACAACAAACTAAAAACAAACAAATGAAAAAACCAAAATAAATGACAGCACACGAGTGGGACCCAGGTTATTGCCTGGGGTAACTTTGATGGGGTTCTGAGGAAAGAGGGCTGGTTGCTATGCCATGGGTGAGTCTCTATTTTTACTGACATGTTCAAGATATAACTTCTACTGTGCATATGTCCCTTCCTGTGATGCAGCTGATTTGAATCATACGCACGCTCAGCTGTACGGAGATACGAGATGGTAAATATAGAGATAGATTCTCCCTAAAAATTCGTTTAGAGGACACAGTTTGCCTTATTGCTCATCTACCCAAAACTGCATCAGGGCAGATTGGCTCCTCCAGGTGTACCTGGTTGTGTCTGGAGTAAGACTGAATGGGAGCAGGAATATATTTGGTGGTTGTTAAGGGAGGGAGAGGGTCATCCCATTGTTTGGAGTGGGCTGTCTGTGTTGCTCTTGTCAGGTCCCAGGTCTCTAGCTGCACTGTTGGGAGGGGGACTTCATGTGCGCATCCCAAACTGAGAAGTCCTGGGTTGTTACGCTGTTCCCTGTGCTCGCCCACCTCCGCTCACCCACCTCCGCTCACCCACCTTCCCTTCATTCCTTCAACAGTCTCAAGCAACCACTAATCTTTGTTTCTGGGCATCTGCACATTCTAGGCGTTTTCCGTGAACAAGATGATACCGTGTGTAGCCTCTCAGGTCTGGTTTCCTTCATGTAGCTTAACAGTTCCAAGGTTCACTCAGGCTGGAGCTTTGACCTGTGAGTTTCATTCCACCTCAGGGTCAAGTAACATTTCCACGAGCTCTGAATTTGGAGGGTTCACAGGCTGAGCCCGACTCATGCCGGAATGCCATTTTCATTGTTTCTGAGTGATGAGGGTAGCAAATTTGTTTCGGGAGACTCGGTCTCAGATGTATCGTTAGGTATGGGGTAGGCTGCTGTGGGCCTTCTCGGGGAGCTTGGCTCTGGAGGCAGCGATAGCTCCCAGCTGAAGCTCTTCCAGTGCTGGCTGGAGGGTGGAGCTGGTTTCAGGCCAGGAAAGGCTGTGTTAGTGGATAACAGTCCGGCTCCTCTGTCTCCTCCAGATGCAGGAAAAGGCCAAAGAGATCTACATGACCTTCCTGTCCAACAAGGCCTCTTCTCAAGTCAACGTGGAGGGGCAGTCTCGGCTCAGTGAAAAGATTCTGGAACAACCGCACCCTCTGATGTTCCAGAAGCTCCAGGACCAGGTAATGTGACCTCCTTGCCCGGGCCTTGATCTGAAAAGCTATCTATGTTCACTCCAGGCCTGGGAGAATTCTTCGGGGAAATGCCACATTCCCCAGGAAAGACCTCATCCTGCTGTGCCAGCCTGAGTGGCGAAGGCTGGGGAGCCCCAGGTTCTGAATTTGGACTATGTTGACTTGTTCTCTCTGCATCATTTGAACCACAGCATTTCTCAGCCATTTCCACCCAGATGGGATGAGAGGTTGGGTCTGTCTGAGGGATGCAGGTTATGGAAATGTGGCAGTCATTAAAAGGAGGGACAGTTAGGGAGGCCTGGAAACGGTGTCGGGGATTCTAAGTCTGTGTTTGTACAAATGAACAAAAACCAACTCCCTTACCGCCGTGGCCCAGAGCTGTAAATTTATAACGTGGCCTCTCGGTAATAATGACAAAGTGAAAATTCTGAAGCACCTTCCACTTAGAAGCAGAAGAGGTAAGTTTAAAAGTGGGCGTGTTAAAGCGGTAAACCTTAAGTTTTCTGGCAGAATTTCTTATGAGGAATATTCAGTAAATGTCACTAGAGGAAAGGGATGTGACCTGAAATTCAAACCTGGATTTATAAACGTGTGCGCGCATCTGTACTCCGCTGTAAAATGTGAGACCCACTCTGGGAGAAGCTCGCAGCTCTGCTGGGAAGGGAGTTTCAGACTAAGGGACCCATACTGAAGAACTAACATGGAACAGCTGTTGAGGGGAGAGAGAAAGGATTCTGGAAACAACCACGAGGATTCAGATCAGCAGGGAACCCGAAACTGGTTTTTGTACAGATATCCAAACGCCGTCCTCACGGCCTGTCCTGAGGAGGCCGCTCACATAGAGGCCCTCCAGCTTGGAGAAGCCAGTCGCGTGAAGGATGGTGTGTTAAGAGCCACTGATGGTGGGTCCCACTCCCGGGGTTGACTGTTCAGAACTGGAGGTCAGACGTGGCGTGGGACCACTTCCTCAGGTTCTCAGGTTCTCAGGGGAGGCTGGTTTTGCAGGTCTGAGGCTACACTCTGTGGAGACGGTACCGTGTACTGGCTGAGTGTTTGTTTTCAGGGCAGGGCCTTTTGGTCACCTGATGCATAGATCGTAGAGCAATGGTTCTCAACCTGTGGGTCGAGACCCCCCCTGGGGAGGAGTCTCATGTCAGATATCCTGCATACCAGGTGTTTATATTACTATTCATAACAGTAGCGAAATGACACTTATGAAGTAGCAATGAAGTACACGAGAAGTACACGAGAAACCGTATTAAGGGTCACAGCTCTAGGAAGGCTGAGAACCTCTGGGCTGGAGGACGCCGGGTGTTGAAGATGCTTCATTTTCGCTCATCTGAGAGAAAACAAAACACGCAGGCAAAAGGACTCTGAGAGCAGTTTCCAACTGACATGGTGGCAAGTGTAGAGCCCACGTAAATTCTGAAAAAAGGTTGGGTGTTGAGGGAACTCTGTCTGGGTCCCTGGGGAGATGTGTCAAGGGCCTTCTGTGGAAGTGGCTTTGAGCAGCGGGCATAGATTTGGGAGGGAGAGGAAAAAAGGGAAAGGCAGGTTTTGTGACTGTGGCCACATGGGAGCATCTGCCTCTTCTGGACCTCGGGGTCTGCTGAAAGTCTCCCTTGGATGCTTTACCACACAACCGGTGTTGAGCGCCCAGTCAGCTGCTAGGTTCTGGGCTCTCTGCAGTGCTCGTGCCCACTGCTGCTGAGCCATCCTGGGAGCTGTGCCTCACTTGGCATGGGCTCTCATCTCTGCTCTCACCTAGTCGTCTCCTCGTTTTGTTGCCCACAGCACCAAGGCTCAGGGAGCTGTCGTGGCTCCTCAGTTAAAGTCGCTAGAGAAACCGTGGCCACTCTGTATCCCTCACAGCCTTCACCCATCGTCCAGCTCAAGGACAGCCCTCTGCTTGGGACAGAGGGAGGACAGGGGTCGTGCGAACACAGGTCAGAGAGAGGACAGAGGTCATGTGAACACAGGTCGTGGCTTTGTGGGGTCACAGAGACCAAGGTGGTGATGAGATGAGGGAGCCTGGTAGAACTCCACACAGTGGCCCGTGCTCAGTGCCCCAACTCCCCAGAGCTACTGTGATTTGCACATGGCTCAGGCGAGTGTCTGCTGGGGAGGCTGGCTGGCACAGAGAGGAGACACGTCAGGAGGGATGATGGTTTTTGGGGGTGGGGGGTGGGGGGTGACGATATAGTTGTTATTCTGAGATAATAGTCTGGCCTCGAGCTCTGACTCCATTCCTCTGTCTCCCAAATGCTGAGGCTGCCGGTGTGTGCCATCACACCTGGGTAAGGGACAAAAGTTTTAAAGATTTTTTTTTTTTTAATCTACCTGATAGGAAAAGGCATTCGGAAACTAAAATATACAGAAGGGGCACTCCCTTGTGATTTCACCCAGAGATAGCCACCAAGCAACATTCCATCTCTAGGTGCCCATCTTTCATGCTCTATAAATAACACGTGTGACCCACACTCGTCACCAATGCGGTTCCGAGTTTGACTGTAAAGGAAGTGCTTTTATATCCTGTTGTGAAGCACTGTTTATGAGAGAGGGAGACAGAGAGAGAGAGGTGGGTGGAGGAGGAGAAGTTGCAGCCACGCCATCCCTCGGTGTCCCTGGAGACTGGTTGCAGGAACCCTTCTGATATACACACCATGGGCTGAAGATCTCCCTAATCAAGCAGTGCTAGAGGGTGTGTAACCTACACATCTTTGCACAAGGTTTAAATCCTCCGTAGGTGACTTTACCCGATCTCACGGAGCACCGTGTCTGTGCTTACACTATATTTCTTAGGGATCGTGGCAGGAAAGAAAAGCTCCGCACACATTCAGGTTCTGTTTTCCTGTGAATGCAGCACAGCCTACTTGTGCAATGTTGGCTGGTTTACAGAGGCGGGGGAAGTGGAGAAGGCACCTGGGTTTTGCTTCGTGTTGGAAACCTCTGTCTGTCAGGAGCCTAGAGACAAAGGGACTCAGCATCGCCTGCACTCTCTGCTCCTACAAAACTTCTATGCAGACCCTGCAACCATTTTTTCCCCCCAAGACAGGGTTTCTTTGTGTAGCCTTGGCTGTCCTGGGCTTGATTTGTAGACCAGGCTGGTCTCAAACTCACAGTGATCCGCCTGTCTCTGCCTCCCCGAGTGCTGGGCCTACAGGTGTGTGCCGCCACCCAGCCTCTGTTGTCACTCTTGACAGAGCCTTTCTTTTGAGTTGTACTAGGGCTCTGCTGGGATTACAGGCATGTGCCGCTCCACCCGGCTGGATCCTGCGTTCTTAAGTGAAGGAGGTTGAATTAAAGAGAGAAGTGATGGAGGCCCCAAGATTTTTAAAAAGTTTTTATTTACTTATTTACTTATTTTTGGTGTGTCTGTCTCTCTCTCTCTCTCTCTCTCTCTCTCTCTCTCTCTCTCTCTGTGTGTGTGTGTGTGGGTGTATCTATGTATGTGTTGCATGTAGAGGCCAGAAATCAACATTCCTCAGTTGCTTCCTGCTTTAGTTTTTAACAGAGTCTCATTGGCCTAGAGCTCATGGGTTTGAGTAGGTTGGTGGCCATCTTCACTTCTCTAGTGCTGGGATTACAGACACGTATCACCAGGCCAAACATTTGTGTGGGTGCTGGGAACTCAGGTCCTCACGCTTATATGGCAGTCATTTTGTTGACTGAGCCATCTTCCCAGTTCTGAGTCCAAGGTCTCACTGAGCCCTAGCTCCCCGTGACGACCGCCATGTGGCTTGAGGTGGGCTTACCTGACTAGGCTGCTTTTAGCCATCGTCACAATGCGGCCTTGTTCTGCTAGGGGAAGCCGGTGGTCAGCATGGCTTTTGTGGGACACAGCTGGAAAGCACAACCAACACCCTTGAGCTCAGATTAGATGGCCCCACAACCCGACACTCTTTAAAGAGCCCCTTTAGGCTCTTCACTGCTAACTCTTGGTTTACACAGGCGCTAACAGGTTCTTTAGTTCAGAGCAGATCTGAAGTGAAGCACTGCCAGGGGCTGGATGGCAGAAAGTAATGCCTGACAACCGGGGAGGAGGCAGACAACGGTACTGAAAATTAACCACAGCACAGTGATCTGGGGCTGGGACACATGGGAGCCATGTTCCCACACACCGAAGTATGGGTGACTTGACTGCTGAGCTAACAGCACTCACAAGACGTCAAGCGAAAGCCAGCCACGGTCAGTATAGTGTGTGAAGAATGCGCTGTGTGTGTTAGTGAGCATTTTAGCAAAAGTAAGAGAAATTAGGGGCTTCTCACTCTTATCTGGGAAAGTCCCCCATGGAATAAGGGGAGAGGCGATTTCCTGATTTAATGTATAAGTTTGGCTTGTCTGTATGCCGACTGGTGACTCATCAGGAGGGGTTGAGGTTGGACTCTTGGGCATCGTAGTCTGGAGCTGGAGGCTGAGCTGCACAGGAAGCAATAAGGAAGGCAGAAGCAGGAAGGAAGGTGGCTCCCTTGCAGTTACTTGGTTTCTTCAGTGAATATGCTAAGAGCTGTTTGTACTTCAAGGACACCAGCCCCTGTCCATTCACAAGGACAAGGATAAATGCTAAGAAGGAAACACAACAGCCACAAGATGGGCTTAGAACATCTGGGAGGGGCTACTGGGGGATCTCTTGGTTCCTGTAGAGGCCAGAGCCCTGAAAGACAGCAAACTTGGGAGACAGGGTGTCCCAGAGAGGACAGTGTAAAGGCTCCGAGACAGGTGCTGGCTGTGTGCTGTGAAGGTCGCTGTCTCCACTCAGTGTCTGAGCAATGGGTGTGAGCACTTGTTAGATCCTGGGGCTATGATGCCAGTTTAACTGAAGGGTTTTGACATTTAGCTGTTTTTGTTTTTGTTTTTGTTTTTTGAGGCAGGGTCTCTCTGTGTAGCCCTGGCTATCCTGGAACTTACTCAGGCTGGCCTCAAACTCAGATCTGCTGGCCTGTACCTCCCGAGTACTGGAATTACAGCTCTGGGCTGCTGCTGCCTGG